GGTAGGTAGTGATGGGGTGATGAGCGGAGGAGGTGGCACCTCCTAAAGAGGCCATGCTGCTCCGAGAGTGAGAGGACTCCAGCTTCATGGTGTCGGCCAGGGACACCTGGTATTTGATGCATTCTTTCTCGTCCTGCCGGGTAGAGCCGGTGGAGCCGGGGGTGGAGATGGACGGATCCGGGGGCACATCTTTCGGTGGGGTCGGCGGGGAGGAAAAGGTGCGGGCTGGAGTGGCCGGCGGATAAAGTGGAAGAAGAGGCGGGCGGGTAGACGGAAAGGGGTCCCGGTGAGCTGTGGTGAATGGAGGTCTTGGAGAATGGGCTGAGGTTCCAGGGGGAAGCGCTGTGATGACTGCTCAGCGCCTTGCTCCCGTCCAGCCAGGGCAGCGAGCCGTGCAGCAGCGGGGGCCGGCACACCTGGCTCCCTGCTCGGAGAAAGCACAGCGAAAACGACGGTTACACTCCCCTTGCCACCCTGCGCAGCCCCTCGTAGGGGTACCGGGCCATACCCCCCCTCTCGCTTCTTCCCAAAGGGCTCAATTACTGCTTTAAAATTTGAAATAGCCTGAGATGGCAGCCCCGATCTTGCTTCAGGACCGGGTCTGCCGGTCGGGACCCCCCGAGAAGATATGCCAGCCCCGGGATAGGGAATTTGGAGAGCTCTGTTTTCACCCTCTCCCATTTCCAGACAATCCCACGCGGACTTTGAAGCGAAAATCCTGCGTGAAATTGCCAAGCCCCGACTGTAGAAATCATTTATTTGTTTCTTAGCTGGAAAATAATTTCCCGGACGCAGCCGTGGGCTACAAACCCTGGGAATATTCTGGCCAAACGAAGAAACCCAGAAGGTGCCCACAGACATGTTAATAATCTTTCCAACAAAGCAGCTAAAGTTTGCAAACCGCCTAGTTTGTCTTTTTTTCTGCCACGAGGCTGCACATAAATGTTAGGCGGCTTTTTCGTGGCTATGTGGCATCTACAGAAAGTAGCAACTGTCTCAAATGAAACTCTCCATCCCCTTCTTATGACAAGAGACTTGTATTTTAAAACACAGACCCGGGCTTTGCAAAAAAAGCCCACTAGATTTATGCAGTCAAACCATATTTTCTTTGTTTATAAATGTTTTTAAGGGATAGTACCTAATATTTTCAAAATTAATCGCTGCCCTTGCTTTAAAAAAAATACATATATATCTCTCTCTCTCTCCAAAGAATCAAATTTGCCCAAGTCCACAGCAATTTGAACACATCTTTATAAGCTGAAAAACACAGTTATTCAACTGGACAAGAGCAAGTTTGTGCCTGCTAATAAAGCCCTGAAAACACATAGACATCTAGAGAGCCTTAATCTCTGTATCATCGCGATCCCTGTGTAGAGACTACTGAAAATACAGAAGGAGAGGTGCAAACACAGATCTATAGAGCCACAGATAGAGCTGGTGCGGTGTGGACACGTCTGTTTGCATGGGAGCTTGTGTATGTGTAGAAAATCTCCAAGCTAGTTTTCACCTTACCAGACATTTGTGAACAATACTGAAAGTAACTTCTCAAAAGGAAGGGAAGGTGGGTTATACGAATAGAAAGGGTCAAGATTCATTATCTTCTCCAGGAAGTAGTGTAGTAAATAATATTCAGGCTAGATCAGAGAGACCGCATTTCCACTTTCTGCTGATATATTGGGGAAAAAAAATGAAAAGGAAAGAAAAGAAAGAAAGGACAAAGTCTGCTGATCCTCAGAAATAATTGTTTTAAAGGGACTAATAGCAGAACAATGCAGTTACTGAGCGGAGCCTAATGCAGACTCGCACTCAACAAGTAGCTGAGGGCTGAGAGCAGCCCCCTGAGCCCAGCTCGGCTTCATCCCCACTCGCTCATCCCACTTTCTTCTCCTTGATTTTTTGGGGTGATTTCCACGGCAAACCGCGGGTTTTTTGGATTTTGACACTGCAGAGGTCACTGTCCAGCTTCACAAATCAGCATCTACTTTCCCCCTTCTCCTTTTTTAAATTTTTTCTCTTTCCTTAGTTTTTAACTATAGAGGCAAACTCCAGCTTTAAATACGGGATATCTGCAACTTTTCATCGAAGGTGGCACCAAAACACTCACCCCTCCGTGGACCTGGGCCGCATCAGCCCCAGGTATTTCACCTCCTCTCTAAATGCCGTGACCCAGGAACCAAATTGACGTTGTGGATCACTACCTTCCTGCAGGACCCTCGGAAAACTCACCAAGTCTAGTCCCTAATTACACCACGGGGCTTATTTTTTGTCTTTTTGACCACATGCCGTGATGCCGCCCTGGGTGCCTGTGCAAAACTTGCGACCCAAGCCTGACAAGCTCACCAAGCGCGGATGAAAGAGCTCAAGCGTGAGGACAGCGGGGTTATGTTCACACCCCTGCTCTCTAGCTCGCTTTTCTTCTCCAGAGCAGCTTAATCGTGCAAAAACTAAACGCGGTATGAAAAACCTAACTGTTAACCTAATTAACAGAGGGGGGGCGGGCTAAAGCGAAAGAGAGAGGGGAAAAGGAAGAAAACAAGAGAAAAGGAAAGAGAGAAAGAAGGAGAGCAAGGGGGGGGAAGGGAGAGAGATTAGAGTGGAGGGGAAGAGGACAAGAAGAAAGAGAGAAAGAAGATGTAAAGAAGATAGAGAGAAAGATGTAAAGAAGATAGAAAGAAAGAAGATGTAAAGAAGATAGAGAGAAAGATGTAAAGAAAGAGAAAGAAAGAAAGAAAATGTAAAGAAAGAGAAAGAAAGAAAGAAAGAAAGAAAGAAAGAAAGAAAGAAAGAAGATGTAAAGAAAGAGAAAGAAAGAAAAAGAAAGAAAGAAGATGTAAAGAAAGAAAGAAGGAAAGAGTAGGAGAGAAAAATTTAAAAGAAAGAAAGAAAGAAAGAAAGAAA